CAGCTGCTGCCAAAATCCGACACATCAAAACAACCCTAACTGTGTGAACCGTGAGCACAAGAATAAGCGTGTACACACTCACTCTTTCATGCAGACTCGACCCCATCTGCTCTGCATGCTGCCCATAGAGCACCATCATTGGGGTCATGTTAAGCCACTGGGGACGGCAAACTTAACTGACACACATACAAACACAGCAGCCAGAAAAGGAAGTTCCGACAGTAAGGGCTTGGAAGTCGGCCCGAGATGGTATCACGGAATGTTCTTGATGACAGTTATCAGTAAAATATATACTCATTTTATGTAACTACTATTCTTATGCTAGATTTGATGTTTTCAATTAATATTTTGATTATGAGATGGGATGATATAAATTAAATAGCTTAAAAGATTCTTGAAACTGATTTATCTTGTGATCTGGCGTTGTTTACAAACTTTGCAGATTCAGCTTGCCGGTGTGGAAGATCAATCCATCTGTTTCCATGACCCGCATGTCCCTTCTGAGCTGTGCCAACCCATCTCTTCCAGGTAGCCAAGGATGAGACACACGGGGCATCCAAACAGGACGTCGGTCCATCCCGGCCCGCACTCGCACGGAGCTCCCGACAGAGTCTCCCAGGATGAGCAGCTCTGGGCCATGGGTGGAAGCCCAGGAAGCTTGCAGAGATCCTGCTGAAAACGGCATGAATGCAGCCGGGGCTGGACCCACCCCGAGGAGCCTGGAGGTGTATCTCAGATCTGCACCGTCAGCTCCAACATCATCTCCCTCCAAATCATGCTGCTCTGAAGCCGCACAAGTTCTCAAAAATACATGCGCGTCCACTTATCCGAACTCCATACACAGATGCTGATACAAAATGATTCATTCCACTTAAATGATATCCAGAAAACAACACAGACCTATACATCATCCAAACACTTATCATGGTCACATTTACTGTATGCCTGACCCCTACTCCAGGCAGCTCAGGGTTAGGGTACATCCTGGACAGGATGCCAGTCTGTTGCAGGGGATACATACACACAGATACTAATCATACACAAGGGGGAATTTACATCCATCCCTCTTCCAACCCACTTATCCTTCTGGGTTGTGGGGGGTCTGGAGCCTATCCGAGAAGCTACAGGCACGAGGAAGGGAACAACCCAGGACAGGGGGGGGGGGGGCAGTCCATCGCAGGACACACTCATGGGCAATTTAGCCTCAGCATGTCTTTGGACTGTGGGGGGGAAATTGGAGTACCATGAGGAAACCTCACAACAATGGGGAGAACATGCAAACTCCACATGTATGTAACCCAAGTGGAGACTTGAACCTGGATCCCAGAGGTGTGAGGTAACAGTGCTAACCACCACACCACCATGCCACCCCCGTGGAATTCATAGACACCAATTATCCTGACTGCATGTCTATGGGAGGAAACAGGAGGACCTGAAGGAAACCCACACAACATGTGAAGATCATGCAAACTCCACACATACAGCTCAAACGCCAAACCCTGCAGCCCCCTGAGCCAGTCAGCTGCCCTAAAAAAATCATATTTGATATCTAAGAAGGCAATTATCTTTAGAGAATAACCAGCTTAAGGCGTCTTGTCTATGCAATTAATAGCCGGAAAAAGAAGAGGCAAAATGAATACGTATAACATGATATTGGTGAGAATAATCTTATCCCATAGAAATGGCCAAAAGTCTAACAATAATAAAGATGATGAAAATCATTGATCCCCATAGGGAAATTCTCTCTGCCTACGCCATCTTGCTCTCCATGACACACAGAGACACATACTGTACGTAGGTGACAGCAAGCTTGGCAGGGAAGGGCAGCCACCGGCAGAGGGCTCAAACCGGCGACCTTCCCATCACAGGCACAGAGGTCCAGCGCACTGAGCCACAAACTCCACCACCTGTAAACAGCCCCCCTAATAACGGGGGCCTCATTTTTCTCTGCCTACATCATTTCCATTTTCTGTAAAGTAGCCGATGCTCATTTTCAGAGTGACATACGACGATGCCGCAAAAGATTCAATATTCCTGATGCTTACGATTTGGGGTCTGACCCTTAAAGTACGCCACGCAGGGCCCATTTTTCCAGCGATGGCTGCTGAGCTGATATGAATGGTGGATTTTTAAAACCTTGCTGTGTCATTCGTGGCTCTTTCAGCTCGTTTCATCACTTTTACCTCCCATTGGACTGACTAAGCTCAGTCACATGCAGAGGACGCCATGCAGCGCCGTAAAGACACTGAAAACTCCTCGGACACCATGTCGGAACTATTCTAATCTACTCTTATGAGTCACTCCAGTATCCTATTTTGGTATTTTATTTTATTTTGTTCTACTCCGTTATTGCATTGTACTGCCTTGTAATTTTATATAATTGTACCTGCCTGCTATGATACCTTAATTTCCCTCAGGGGATTAATAAAGTTGTCTGTCTGTCTATCTATCTATCATACCAAGACATTGGGCACTTGGAATGGGTTATATCAATGCAGCCTTCATTAATATGTCTTGTCATAAGATTAAAGTGAAAGTGATCCTGTGATACCGGCTCATGCTCTGCCTTATCTTTGAGCTCAGGTATTAGCCTGCAGCTACCAAACGTGTGTGTGTGGGGGGGGACCTTCCCTGGGATCAACAACTTGAAACAACTTTAACAGTGGTGTTAAATAAAGCCGTCTGGGGCCATACTTTTCAAAGCTAACAATAGGATATCACTCAGTTACCTGCATGTAAAACACCTGGGAACGGGTCCGGCATTTCACACTGAGAACCTACCTGACGTAGTGTAATGTTAACGTGGTTTTAGGCACAGCAATAAGCCAGTACTCAAAGTAGTATGACTAATCACGCTGGAAACTTCCAAGGATATGGACAAACCGTGTCACGGGAGCCTGTCCATAAAAATTATCTGTAACGGTATTCAAACAGCCACGAGCGCGTCGATAAAACACAACGTCTTCCAGAATGTTCCGCCTCCCTCTGAACTTCCAGGCAAGCGGCTGCTTGTGCGGCTCAGATGACGAATGCCGCCCCCCCCCCCCCTTGCACCCCACCCAGCACGCTCGTCCGTTTACAAACGACACCCAGGTAAGCCGGACGCTGATCACCGGGCTCCCGGGGCGCCTACATCGCCCCCACCCACGGTGTCGAATGATGCCTGTTAGCGGCAGTGTGACAAGAGCAAGGCGGTGACACACGTACCTCCGGAGGCACAACTCAGGAAATTCCAGAACTGCATGTCTGAGGAGCGTCTGACAGGCGCGTCCGGCACCGCTCGCTTCCTGATCTGCTCCCGACGCCGCGTCCCACTCGGCAAGCTGCTCGCCTCGTCCCTCCCTCCCACCGCCAAACGGCACTAAAAGCGCAGGTAAGATCAGCACCTCGCAAACAGTGTCTGTACATGGAGATGAGAAGCTGGTGAGAGATCCTCACCGACAGAAAGAGTCAATCTGTGAGTGCCACTCACTGATCTACTTTAAATCTGGATTTTTCCAGAATACCACATAGGACTTTTCATCCCAAATGAGCATCAATTAAACATATAAACATAAATAAACAAACAAAAAAAAACCCAAAATATTGCAGTGATATTTTCATGAGAAAAACAAATGGAGCACAAAGTGTGTGTGTGTGTGTGTCTATATATATATATATATATATATATATATATATATATATATATATATATATATATATATATATATATATATATAAGAATTTCACTAGCTTAACCCCAAGAACCCATAACAGTATAACAGTCAAAGATGGGGGAGGCTACACTGCAAAAGGAGAATTTCAATATGTGTAAAAGTTCCATGGGTACAATGTCTTCGCCCTGACCCCCGATCATGCCCAGACTGCCGTGCACGACCCCCCCCTAAGCGCCCACCTCGATTAACTTTGCCGGTCTATTTCCGCATCTTTCTGCTGGGGACTGCAGGCGGAAAGTGGGTCACCTGGAGACCCGAGAGATGCCCTCAGCGACGCCGAGACTTTCTCAGGTCAGCCCGAAACCGCGGAATTACGGCGCACATCCTGCTACCGCTGCGCCTTCGCGTCTTTCTTTCCCGGCGTTCAGGATCATATAAGCAGCCGGCTAATGTTTAATAGTCACGTAAAAATGCCCAATCGAAACCTTTACTTAACTTCTGCGATAACGAGGCTACAGTCAACAAATTGCGACACAGACCTCGTTGTTATTGGATCAAATCAGATTATAGTCAGTGACAAATGCTCATGTTAGTTATGGTGCGAATTTCTCTCAGAATTAAACCCCGGCTGTCTGTATACCGAAGCTGGGAGTGAATCCAAGCGCTGCAACCGCATCTGATAGTGACAGCAACCCGGCCCCGGCGCCGTCATCCCGTACCCGAGGCGTGAAATTTAGACATTTCTGCGAACGGCATGCAAACTTATAATAGTGTACATGTAATGCAAAGGGACCCGTCAGGGCTGCGGAGCGGATCCGCCGCAGTGAGAGTGGGCGTTGCCATCGTTACAATTATTGCATCACAATGGAGAAACAGCGACCAAGCCGAAGGAGCCAAGCAGCCAAGCCGACATAGGGACCGCCACCCGGGGCCGGTTGGTCTGCGGCGGCTCGGCGGCACTCGTTTCGCGGACTCGGCTCTCGATGCCAGGCGCTTCGTCGCTGTCGCTACTTGTCGCTTTGCAGCTTTGCATGCCACTGCACATAAGCACGTACCTAGTGTAACGGCAGCGTTAAGACGTGCTCAGATTAAAAGGGGGGAAATAAACGCAGCTGGGCACCAGACCGACAAGAAAAACCACCCGCAGTTATCACATACTGTAAGGTTAATTATGATCACATTCAGACCAAATCCATACATTTTAATCCATAAGCGAATCATAAGAAACCTCGTTTCCAGACGCTTCATTTGCATTGGACCGCAAGGTAAACCAACCTTAAGTTACCCAAAACTTTTATCTTCATTATTTGAAGTGATTAAAAGCTGAAAGGCACTCGCACTCACCTTATTCTGACAGGCAGCTTTCACACTCAGAGCCCGTGCTTTCCTGTACGGTCCTTCGCAGCACTGCCGTTAAATCCCATTCATTGGGCGCTCCGGCTCCGCTCAGCATTCAGCGCCGCAGGACCGCATCCCGGGCCGGCCGGTCCAACATGGCTGACGGTGCGGTACCCCGGCCAGCAGCAGTCTCTGACAGACCTCACAAGCGAAGTGGAGATCCGGATCTCTGCCAAACCCAATGTGCCGTGGCGGGCAGCGGACTATATAATATCGTCCATTTAATCGGCAGATGGAGATTTAACATCACAGCGCTCGGCGGCACCGCGCATGGCTTTGGATACGCGGCAAATAGCAGCTCTGTATCTGATTGATGACCTGAGTTTAATAAATAATAAATATTAAAAAAACAGACGCGGATTAATGCATTGGCTGTCCTAGGCTATAGCCTGGGCCCCAAACCGTACAAACAAAACAGACGCACATATGTGCATGACTCATACGTCACATCTTACAAGTCCAAAACAGCCGCTATTGTAGCGAAATAATGTCACTATGTTCAAAATACTCCCCGTTTCACCCGATAATATTTCACTGCAGTACTTGAGTTTAGTCCAGATTTGTACTCATGCTGCCTTTAAGTTATTCGTACTGACCAAAAGAAGTTAACTCTGCCACAGTATTTAATTAACTGGCAGACTTGCTGAATCTCTTTCAAAGGAAACCCCTAAGGAATTTCATTTCTCTGTCTCAGTATAAAGTCAGGGCCAATGTCCCAGTTTCATCTGGTTGACATTCTTCATTTCCCGATGTTACCAAATTAGAGTTCAAAGTGTAAAAAATGTCTTGAGCAAGGCTAAAAGAGCAAAAGCCTATTCATAAACTGTCCATCTGTTGGCCTTACAGGGAAACAGGATTTGACCTTAGTGCAGAGAATAGCCCTTGATGTGCTGCGCTCAGGCAGTATACTGCTGTTAGATTAGATTAAATTAACTTTATTGATCCCAGAGGGAAATTCTTGTGCATGCAGCAGCAAGTACGCAGATCTCAAACACACATTTAGTTCAAAACAGACAAGGTGCAGTGACAGTTCACATAGTACAAACAAGTAAACAGTGCTAACAATTTGATAAGTACACTATACAGATAAAAACAGGATCATATGACATATTAATTGAATAATAAATATTAAGAGAAATAGTAATAAATTAGCAGATAGTAATGTGTGACTAAAAAAACAGATAGCAGTAGACATTTTCCATTGGAGTAACGGTAGTAAAATTACGGGGCTGAACCCCCCCTAGTTGGCAAATCCTGTGGATATAATTGCCAGACCCCCCACAAAATTTATTTCTGGTTATGTACCTGGCCAGGAGGGGGCGTTGTGGTGCCTAATGACAGCAGGTAGATAACAGCCCCAGTAGCTCTTCATAGCACACTGTGGTGGAATGGGGGACCCCCCACCCCCCAGGTGGTGACTGGTCTCAGGGGCTCCCTGTTATGCCAGAAATTGGCCACCAGCTCTTTTGTCCAGCTTATGTTAAGCTGCAGGTTGTTCTCCCTGCACCACAAGGCAAAGTCCTCTAATTATGTCCCCCAGGTCTGTGCTCTGATTCATCTCCATTGCTGATGTATCCTACAATGACAGAGTCATCTGAGAACTTCGGTAGATGGCAAGAGCTGGTGTTTTATTGGACGTTTGATGTATAGAGGGCAAACAGGAAGGGAGACATAGCAGGCAAACAGGACGGATCCCTGAGGTGCCCCAGTGTTACTCACCACCATCTCTGACACACAGACCAGGAGCCTCACCAGCTGCCGTCTGTTAGTCAGGTAGTCTGTTAGTCAGGTAGTCTGTTAGTCAGGTAGTCTGTGATCCAGGCGACCGTGGGCCCATCAGGCTGAGTTTGTTATTAAAAAAATCAGACATCTATCATCAGATGGTCTAAGCTTTTGAATTTGTCACTCTGGGCTTCATACCAAAAATTTGTCTGGCAATATCTGAGCATTACTTGCACAATATGCGTGAAATACAATATAAACGGCCACATAGAAAATGCATTTGCGTTATAGGATGTTTTCTCCCATTTTCTGTTAACAGTGCCATCTAGTGGTCATCCCCCAAACATATATTTCCCAAAAAAAAAATCCTCATTTCAAGTAATGAGTTTTATTTGTCACATGTACACAAGGTATATAGTGAAATGCAGCAAAAAATATGATTACTCTGCCTTCTGATCCACAAGAGATGCAACACATCGACTGGAAACTGACTCCGGACCCCAGCATTGCATTCTTTAGCTAAAAATCCCTGAAACATTTTCTACTTGTTTTGTATGGTAGTGCTAAAAAACTACAGAGACAATATATTGTAGCATCATAGATGAGTGGAAGAGGCAGGAAGGGGAACACATAAAGGAAGTATGATGTAAAGAAGGATAATGTTTTTAAACATTGTTCGATCGATCGACAACGACGACGACCACCACCACCACCGAAATGGCGCGAGCTGCTCTGTGTAGTAACGACATTGCTGCGCTTTTACTGATATATAAAAAACCAGTAAAACTAATGACATTTCATAAAAATATTTTCCAATCGTTTTAAAAAAATAGCTGATACATATGCATACAAATGTTTGCATTGTGGCTGGCGT